TGACTATCAATTAGCGAATCATGTAACATTAGCTCAATGCTAAAAATTTAGGTTACTATCACATTCAGACAAATAATTTCATGTAGGCTAACGTTACCTACCTCTGTCTTTTTCTTGTTTCTCCTCCTCTTCTTTTCTCTTTCTTCTTCCCTGGCCACCTGACAGTTTTGGCCGTTTTGACACCTTTTGTTGATTTTCTGATGTGGTGACGTCCAAAAGGAACCATGATACGGGAAGGGAGGGGGCGCACCGTGCTGGGAGGGGGGGGGGCGTAATGTTGTAACAAATAATATTTCTATTAAATAAGCTTTACTTTGCATTTTAATTAACGTGGGATTATTTTTTGTATTTAGAAATAATAGTACCAACTTTTTTTTTTTTCAACATTTGTGGCACTGGCGTGGCGCCCCCTGATGGACGGCGCCCTTAGCATTTGCCTATACGGCCTATGCCACGGGCCGGCCCTGCATGCGATACTTGCCTCCATTGACAGGAATGTTACAAAGTAACTGAAACGTGGGAATCTTTTGTGCTCCAGCTGGTACACTGTAGCCTTTCGGTTCCACCTCTTACTTAACCAATCTGGTAGTTTAGCAGCAAGTCTTTGATTCTCAATGCCATCATTGAGAATGTTCAGATTCTCATTATTAGTCATTGCAGATTGGCAGCTTTGTAAAAAGTCCACAAACTTTCTTAGCTCTGCACTATCCTTTCGTGTGACCTTTGGCCAGGTGTGTAACTTGTCTCTAACGGCCTTAGCAATGACAAAAGGCTCTCCATAACGTTCATTGAGCATATTCCATGCTGCCTCATATGAGTCTTCAGAGCCAATCAGAAAATAGCCATCTAAGGCTTCCTTAACACAGCCACCAACACACTTCTGTAGAAAAAATATCTTTTCGGCAGTGGGAATGTTCTTTCTCTCTATTGGAGTCTGAAAGGATGCCTTCCAATGCTTAAACTTAAGTGGATCCCCACTAAATACCGAGGGTTCTGGAATAGGCAGTCTATTAGCTGACATAGCTTCTGCCAAAACCTTTACAAGCTCACCTGTGTTCTCATAAGTGACATTTAACTCTCTTCGTGGTTGTAAGGGTTGATTAGCAGTATTCTTGGACTCCGTTACCTGTAAGTTTGCAGGGTTTAGAGCGACTCTTTCTTGCTTTACTGAAACGTAGTCTTCCTCATAAACTTGTAGTTTTGCTTGTGCTGCCTTGAGTCCTTTCAGATTTTCCAATCTTTCAATTTCTCTTCTAAAGTCCTCAACTGACTTTCTCCTTGCAGCACTTTCCTCTTGTTGTCTCTTTATCACGGCCGCTTTCTCCTTTTCTCTTTGTAGCTTGCGCTCAGTTTCCTCCTTTTCCTCTAGGAGACGTTGTGACATTGCAGCAGCTGCTTGCTCTGCGGATATGCGTTTGTCTTCTTCTTCAAGCATTTGCATTCTTTCTCTGTACTTCTCTTGTTCCGTCATTATCTGAAGCACAGCCTTTGTGGCTTCATACTCTGCTGCAGCTTTTTGTCTTTTGGAGGAGGAACCATTAGAAAGAACTGTATTGGCTTTAAATGGACTATGAACTGAGACACTAACAGAGCTGGAGGATGTAAATACAGAGCCTGCATCAGGCCATACAATCTCCTCTTGAGTTTCTCCTTTAATGTGACATTTGATCTTTTGCAAAACTACTGTAGTCACTGATGTGCATTTGTCTAGCTTGGAACGCATATCATGAGGTGGTCCATCCATTGCTCTGTATTCATCATTAAGCTCAGCTGCTTCTCTTTGTACAACGTTCATGTGACCTTCAAGAATGTCAGGTGGATCTCCTTTTATAACAGATTTTTTTGCCACCTTGATTAATGCTTTCCATCTGTCATAAATACTGTCAAAGCGACGTTGAAACCCTTGTAACCTTTCTTTATGGAATTCTTTTCCTTTTTCTGTGAGCATGCGAGGCCTTTCACTTCTACGTTGCTCCATTTGCACTATATGTTCTAAAGAGGTTTCATCCACTTGCCTTGCAGCTTGTTCTGCACTGGGAGCTTCAATTTCTGTCTCATTTGTGTCTGCCATTTTGTTTTTCTTGTAATGCACTTATTTGTTGATGCAAAATCTCCTTTTAACTTGACTTGAGTAATGAATTGTGAACTTGGGTGCATTAATTCCCTTCTTGCTAACTTGTGATGCTGTTGTTGTCAGGCTTAACACAGTTCCTTATTGTTTCTCCTTCCTTGTGTCATCTTTCCAAACATAAACTTTAATGTCTGGCTTCTGGACATCTTTATGAAGAAGCAACTGTGAACTTGTGTGTCCATTAACATTTGCAGCAGCTTGGTCCTTGGTGCACTGGCACGATGTTGCCACCAGGAGGCCGGGAATCATGCAGGTCCGAGTTCGACTATCACTTCTACCTCTTCTTAAAGTCAATAAAGAGTTCTTTTACTGATGGCATGAAGTTGGCTTTAATGTTAGTTGTAAGGTCTTGGGGTTGTTACAGCTTCACCTTGATCACAAACTACGCCACCGTCGAACTAAAACATAACATAAAATCCAATGAAATAGTAAGACAAGTGAAATAAAGACATAAAATGATCTATATAACATACAAACATACCTCGCTGGCTGACCCATGCTTTGAGGCAGAAATGAGCACTTTACAGATACTTTTAAGAAACAACTTTCTCAGAATTAAATTGGCGTCTCTTGCTTCAACTTGCCATGCTCACACATCAACATGGGCGTGCATCTCCCTCAGGTGCACCAGTGGAACGAAAATGCAGTACAATAGTTCCTACATGAGAATTTTTACAATAAATGACCTAATGGCATATAAAATATGCATAGTGCAAAACAAAATACATTAACTGAAAGTAAGGCAGTAAAACACGCCATGAGCATCAGGTAGCACAAAGAAGCAGTTTCTGCCGAATGAAGGAAAATCCTCCAAATACTCCAGAATGTTAAGAAGAGTGATCAGATGAATTGCAAAGTTCTTTGCCATAAAAATGAACTTATTTCCACTGCATTTATCACTACCATAAAAAGACATGCTGAGATAATTTCAATAAACAAACAATACAAACAATAGAATGTTGACGAGCACAAGGCTGAAGATTATTATGTTATGCTGACTGAGTTAGAATAATAGTGAGGATTATGTTTGAGATCGTTGTTCTTCCTGTTAACCATGGTTATCTGCAATGCAACATCATTGTGTTGCATAAAAAGGGCTTCACAGGCAAGGATGTTGTTGCTACTAAAATTGCAGCTAAATCGACCATTTATGGGATCATCAAGAACTTTTAAGAAACAGGTTTAATTGTTGTCAAGAAAGTTCAGGGCGCTCAAGAAAGTCCAGCAAGGCTTAGAACGGTCTCCTAAACAGGATTCAGCTGCGGGATATGGGTGCCACAAGTGTAGAGTTGCTCAGGAATGGCAGCAGGCAGGTGTGAGTTCATCTGCACACACAGTGAGGCAAAGACTTTTGAAGGATGGCCTGTTGTTAGCTGAATGGGAAGAATAGGATCCAGGCAATTAATACCTGTACCCCTGCTGGGATAATCAGTAGGCTAAAAGAAGAGAAAGAAGCCATTGGCATCAAGATAAGAAAGCTCTTTAACATGTATGGAAAGTTTCAATCCAAATCCAGCACTCTGAGACTTTACACTAAATGAAATGAAGGATGCTGCAGTGTCAGAACCACTATTCAGGATGAAACAACAAACATCCATGAATACATCAGCAAGATGAGCACAACTGATAGTGTGTTTGGGACAGCCCTAGTCCTGTGGCACTTTCAGATACAGATAGACAAAGGTGATGGTTTTAACCCGCTTAAGAAAAAATGCCATGGAAAATAACAATTATGATGACTGGCACGTCTTCTTCTTCTTCGTTTATTGGAGCATTATCGCCACCAGCTGGAAATGAGTGTATCCCTATTAATGCCAGTATTTATTGAATTTCTAATAAAAGGTCTGGTCCACGGTCTTAATGCTGTTTTGAAATGAAATGAAATGAAGTTTAAATGCCCCATTTAACGCCCCATACCTACCATTATCCGATGACACATCTGATTACCTGGATGTTTTGCTCGTTTCTTCTCCTCTCCTTTCTTTTTTTTCCTATACTGAGCATCTGATGACACTCAACCCGAGAATCACCATAACATAACCTAATAGACCTTGACCATTTTATAGGGTTTTATTTTCTTTCTGGGATTTCGCACAAACCACAAAAAATAATCAATGCACACTGGGCTTGGATTGAAAACATTATGAATGAAATGTTCTTTCTTTGGGTGCTTCCCGCCCCCTTTCCCTTTTGACAGGTTGTGTTTGAGACTTCAGCGCAGCAGCAGCAAGCAGGGGCACTGAGGGCCCTTGCGTTCACTTTTTGCGTATATGTGTGTAATAGAATTTAGAAAACACAAATTGTGCCAATTATAAGTCTTTATCATAATTTCTGGTGTTTTGTGTTTGTTGGTTTGTTTTTATTATGTTTTACTTTGCGAGCTGGTTATTAGTGGCATGGTGTGAATGACTGTAAAATTGTATATGCAGGAAAAATTACAATGTATTGTTTCATCTGATTTGTAGTGTGTCTTCCTCTCTCTGCTGTTCACGTTTATTAAAATGAAAACAAGCATAAGACAATCTTGACGGGAGGGGCCAATGGGGGAGCCTCAAATTTTAGAGCTGGAACGCAAATATGCAAAACAAGCTACATAAAGCAGTCAAATTGATATAATGATACTACTCACTAAAGGAGAAATGAAACAGTAATTAAAAAAATCAAGTGAAGATGGCAGAACAGTAAAGATGAAAGAATTCGCAGGAAGTTAGTGTCCCCTATCAACACTCCTGTGCAGGTGGTGGCGGTAATGCACCAGAAACGTTGCTTGCCAATCGACATTAAACAAGAAGAAGTAGTAGCGCTTGTAAAAAGCAGAACGTAGGCGTAAGGAAGTAAGAGTATAACTACAGTCATCAAACGTTTTATCTTCCACGAGGACCTTTAGTTTTTTAAGCCGTCTAAGGCAAAGATCGTGTGGCTGTGCCCCTCTGGTCTCCAGCAGATCGCGTTTCTGTTTCTGATGTGTGATTGGAAAGATATACGCTCTCGTTGATCGTTGTAAACAAAGAACGTGTACTCGTGCTGACTGACGGGAGTAACATGCCGGAAAGAGGATGTAAGTGAGCCCACTCTCTCTACTCGTCGTAGTCTAATTACAAAATCGGCACGCTTGCCTCCTTCTCTCCTGGTGGATCTTTAATTCGGGTTACTCAGAGAGGGATCCACAGTGAGTAAATTATAACTGCATTGGTTGCCTAACTCCATCATTGTCTACAGGGTTTCTCTCTTAGCTAATTTGTGTTTTCGCTTGTACCTTCTGTTTATCCTCTGTCGCTTACTTTATTCCATCTGATGATCGCATAGAGCTTCTTTTGTTAATAGCATTACATCATCTGCACAATGTGGCTGCTCTGAAAAAGAAGTCAACAAATCAGAGAATCTCGACTCCCTGGAAGAACTTATAAGTACACCTACACTGAAGACTAATTTAGAAGATCTTCTTTTGACATGGAAAAGTAAAATCCCTCTTGAAAGTAATGAAATCTTAGTAAGTAAGGAACAACATCAGGTTTCTTTACGGCGCTGCAGCCAGGTTGAGCCAAGTGTACCGTTTGTCTTTCTATCTTAGTACAGCACTGGTCAAATGTTTGGACACAGCTTCTCATTTAATGCCTTTTCTTTCATTTCATGACTGTTTACATTGTAGGTTCTCACTGAAGGCATCAAAACTATAAATGAAGAAATATGGAAATAGGAAGTAAACAAAAAAATGAAAATAACTCATGTCTTATATTCTAGATTCTAGCCACCCTTTGGTTTGATTACTGCCTCGCACTCTTGGCATCCCTTGATGAGCTTCACAGGTAGTCACCTGAAATGGTTTTCCAACAGTCTTGAGTACTTTCTAGCCCTTTTGGTCCATATGATCCCAAACCATCTCGATTGGGTTTAAGTCGGGTTACTGTGGAGTCCAGGCTTTCTGGCGTAGCGCTCCATCATTCTCCTTGGTCAAATTAGCTCTTACACAGCCTGGAGGTGTGTTTGGGGTCATTGTCCTGTTGAAAAATAAATGATGGTGCACCTAAACACAAACCAGATGGGGCGGCATGTTGCTGCGGGATGCTGTAGTAGCCATGCTGGTTTAGCGTGCATTCAATTTTGAATAAATCCCCAACAACGTCACAAGCAAAGCACCTCCACACCATCACACCTCCTCCATGTTTCACAGCGTGAACCGTTCACCTTTTCTGCTTCGCCCAAAGACACAGTGGGTGGAACCAAACATCTCAAAATTTGACTCATCAGACCAGATTTTCACTGGTCTAATGTCCATTCCCTGTGTTTCTCGGCCCAAACAAATGTCTTCTGATTGTTGCTTTTCCTTAGTAGTGGTTTCTTAGCAGCTATTTGACCATAAAGGGCTGATTCACAAAGTCTCCTCTCAGCAGGTGATGTAGAGATATTTCTGCTACTGGAACTCTGTGTGGCATTTCTCTAGGCTCTAACCAGAGGTGCTGTGATTTCTGAGGCTGGTGACTCAGATAAATTTATCGTCAGCAGCAGAGGTGACTCTTGGTCTTCCTTTCCTGGGATGGTCACCATGTGAGCCACTTTTTTGTTTGTTAGCGATTGATGTTTTTTGCGACTGCGCTTGGCGACTACATCATGAAGCTCATTGAGAGAAGGCCAAGGGATTGCAGCGCTGTCAACAAATGAAAGGGTGGCTACTTTTAGATGTCTAAAATATAAGATATATTTAGAGTTATTTATCTTTTTTCTTTGCTAAATAATTCACACATCTCTTTTCATATATTTAATGTCTTCTGTTTGTGTCTACAATGTGTCTCTATATACGTTTTCTTTAACCTTTTAACGATGTTAAACTGAAACTGAATTAAGGTTTTAAGAATGTGTCATAATCTGTACACTTTGTAGGTTTTGTCATTCTATAACCGCATGTCATTGTTTCTTTGTCATTATAGGCAAAAGAAGGGAAAGCATCAAAGAAAACAAAAACCAACCAGTTCCAGCAAGTACAGATGAACCAGTTGTGAACCGGATGGAAAAGACTTTTACCACTATGAAGCAGCCCAGAAGACGCCAGAGCATTGACAGTGGGGACAAAAGCTTCACATGTGATCAGTGTGGAAAGACTTTCACCCGGCATAGTTGTTTAAAACAACATCAGCTCATCCACACTGGATTTAAACCATTCAGCTGTGATCGGTGTGGAAAGGCTTTTACTCAGAATTCCAACTTAAAAAGACATCAGCTCATCCACACTGGATTTAAACCATTCAGCTGTAATCAGTGTGGAAAGAGTTTCACCAAGAGTGATGGCTTAAAAAAACACAACCTCATTCACACTGGATTTAAACCATTCAGCTGTGATCAGTGTGGAAAAGCTTTTACTCAGAATGCCAACTTAAAAAAACATCAGCTCATTCACGCTGGATTTAAACCGTTCAGGTGTGATCAGTGGGGAAAGTCTTTCACTTCCAAAAGTAACTTAAAAGGACATCAGGTCATCCACACTGGATTTAAACCATTCACCTGTGATCAGTGTGGAAAGTCTTTCACGTCCAAAGGTAACTTAAAAGGACATCAGGTCATCCACACTGGATTTAAACCATTCAGCTGTGATCAATGTGGCAGGACTTTCACTCAGAGTGGCAGCTTAAAAAAACATCAGGTCATCCACACTGGATTTAAACCATTCAGCTGTGATCAGTGTGGAAAGTCTTTCACTTCTAAAGGTAACTTAAAAGGACATCAGGTCATCCACACTGGATTTAAACCATTCAGCTGTGATCAGTGTGGAAAGTCTTTCACTTCTAAAGGTAACTTAAAAGGACATCAGCTCATCCACACTGGATTTAAACCATTCAGCTGTGGTCAGTGTGGAAAGACCTTTACTCAGGACTGCAGCTTACAAAAACATCAGCTTATCCACACTGGATTTAAACCATTCAGCTGTGATCAGTGTGGAAAGACCTTTACTCAGAATTGCAGCTTACAAAAACATCAGCTTATCCACACTGGATTTAAACCATTCAGCTGTGGTCAGTGTGGAAAGACCTTTACTCAGGATTGCAGCTTACAAAAACATCAGCTTATCCACACTGGATTTAAACCATTCAGCTGTGATCAGTGTGGAAAGGCTTTTACTCAGAATGGTCACTTACAAAAACATCAGGTCATCCACACTGGATTTAAACCATACAGTTGTGATCAGTGTGGAAAGACCTTTACTCAGGATGGCAGCTTACAAAAACATCAGCTTATCCACACTGGATTTAAACCATTCAGCTGTGATCAGTGTGGAAAGACTTTTGCACTCAAGAATAGGTTAATAAATCATCAACTGATCCCCCCAATCAACCATCCATCTTCTTTCGCTTTATCCGGGGCTGGATCGCGGGGCTGGATCGCGGGGAACACCAAGGCGTTCCCAGGCCAGCCGAGAGATATAATCTCCCCAGTGTGTCCTGGATCTGCCTCGGAGCCTCCTCCCAGTGGGATAGGCCCAGAACACCTCACTCAGGAGGCATCCTGGTCAGATGCCTGAATCACCTCAACTGGCTCCTTTTGATGTGGAGGAGCAGCGGCTCTGCGACTCTGAGCCCCTCCCGAATGGCTGAAGGAGTAACAGATGGGTTGAAGGTGGGGATGGGATTACATCAATTCTGAGCCCTTCTTGTTTTCAGTAGCGACGGACAGACTGACATACAAAGTCAGTTAAGAGTCTCTGTTGAATATGTTGTTTGCAGATGATATTGTAATCTATAGTAGGAATAGGAATCAGTAGTAAGAGAACCTGGAGAGGTGGAGGTGTGCTCTGGAGAGAAGAGGAATGAAGGGAAGGGAAATAACATGCCTATCTTAAGCTGGCAGCCAGCATGTAGAAAGACTTTGTCTTAATTGTTGATATTAGTTTCTTACATTTTCTGATTTTTAATCAAATGGTCTTTTCAGAAACTCCTGATTGTTGTTTCATAAATGTAATGGCTATTATTAATGGGGTGGCTGTAGCTCAGGCGGTAGAGCAGGCATCTACTGATCGGAAGGTTGGTGGTTCGATTCCTGGCTTCCCTTGGTCTGCATGCCAAATATCCTTGGGCAAGATATTAACCCCAAATTGATCTCCGATGCATCCATCGGAGTATGAATGTGTGTGAATGTTACTTAGAAAGCACTTAGAACAATGTGCTTGTGCAAATGGGTGAATGCACAAGTTGTGTAAAGCGCTTTGAGTGCTCAGAAGAGTAGAAAAGCGCTATATAAGAACCAGTCTATTTACCATATTTACTTTACTAAATTAAACCCATGATTAAGAGTGTTAATAAAAATATATTCTTATTTTCTGATTATATTGTTTTTTTGTACTTTGTAGTAAGGTCTGTGAGGAAAACTAGGTCAGAGGGTGACTGGTCGCCTTGGCAACAGAGACTTCAGTTAGGGGAAGTTAAAAAACAGGAAGCTAGGGTAGAGTTGCTTAGGCATATTAATAAAACACAGGAAACCAGACAGAAAAGCGGAACTAGTAACACAGAAGGAGTTGTTTATATCGAAACTATGTGTGTGTGATGTATAGCAGAACTATAAACGGAATTTAATAAAAGGCCACAATGCACAAAGGCTTAGAGATCTATGCACGCCTCACAAAACAAACTGTTCATTGAAGATCAAATTGAGGAAAACTTTGTTACGTTAAAGTCATGCAAACATTGAGTTTATCTGTTCTGTGCAAACATCTATGTAATGTTACAGACCAAGCATTATTGTCATCATGTGATCACAAAGAGAAGCAGAGCATCTGAACAGATTGCCTTCTAGGTCAATCTGAAAGACCTGTTGCTGTTTAGTGGGCTGTTCATCATCATAATTAGTGAGGTCAATGCAGCGCTGTTTCTCTAATGTAGCTATTTGAAATGTGGTGAAATGTGTTTTGTTGGGATTTGAGTGTAAACTAGGTTGCAGCACAGGAGGTGCAGACAGAAAGTGAAACTAAGCAGAGTGTTTTGATGCAAACTTAGAGTGTGTGACGTGCTGCAGAAATATATATATATTAGGGGTGCAACGATACACAAAATTCACGGTTCGGTTCGGTTCGATACTTTGGTGTCACGGTTCGATATTTTTCGATACAAAAAAATGTTCAAGCATTTTTAATTTGTCATTTATTAAAATTATAAATATATATTTTAACTCAAAAGTACAGTTTTTAAATTTAACCCTAACCCTTGTGCGTGTTTTTTATTTTGACAGTGAATGCACACCTGCGGAAGAGATAGATTTTGGTAGCCCGACTGAAAAAAATCGCTAGCTCCGGGACGTCGGGCTAGCGATATTGCAAGCCCTGTATCTGATTGAGGAATCACTCATCTTTGGAAAAGAGAGTTTATTACAGAGAAATGTCTCTTTCCAAAATAAAAGCTATACTATCCGCTTCTTCTGGGCTATATTCTCAGCAGCATAAGGAGAATCATGTGCTAACAGCTGTCTAAATGACTCGGCTAAAGTTAGTAGCATGCTTGTTGTTTTTTGTCTGCTTCCACTTGTCTTTGCACTAGGATGATGTCGGCGTAAATGTGCAGTCATATTCGTTGTGTTCCCACTAGTGCTTTCAGGTTAATCTCGTTGAAATGACCTTAGCGCCACAACACGGCAAATCTCCGTTAACAAGCTACCGCCGATCGCTCCGTGCATGGGGCTAGACGGCCAACACGTTAACGAGCTAACTGCGCTAACACACTAGTTCACACCAATGTAATTGAGCATTGCATGGCACATCCAACATACTGTTTTACTTTAGTCCATGACTCGCTTACCTTCAGGGTCATACGTCACATGAAAACCAAAATAATTCCAAACGCCAGACCTGAATGAGAGTGGGGGAGGTCCATGTTAAAAGGAGAGCTTAACTTCTGTCTCGCTAGCTTGCCCTGCGCTCTTCCTTCTGACTATGCTGTCTGTGTTGAGCGCTCAGTGGATCTGCGCTGGACAGTGCAGCCTAGGCGGAGTAGTCGAACACAGATTCACTGAGCGCTCAACACAGACAGCATCGTCAGAAGGAAAATTGATAAAATAAATTACAAATGTTGTATTGTTCGATACATATGCGTACCGAACCGAAAGCACTGTATCGAACGGTTCAATATCGATACGAATATCGTTGCACCCCTAATATATATATATATATATATGACCATGTTGGCTGCTGCTGCTTTCAGACCTGAGCGTGTGTTCATGTGTTCAGGTCTCCGTTCCCGGGAATGTAAAATAAAGATCATGTTTTGAGCTTTGACCACCCTGGGTCCAGTCTTTCTCTGCTGCCAAAAGAATTCAAATAACAAAATTTAATAGTTTTAAATGATTTCTGTTGTCTTAAAACATGATGTGGGTCTGTTTTGTTGCATGATGAGAAAAAGAAACCTGTCTTTTTTATGTTGCATCAAACTTTTTTTATTGTATTTCATCAGTTTGTCATTTTGACCAAAGGTATGTGTAAAATTAAATGTATCCTATAATTATTAAGATATATAAAACTTATAATGTATATTTCTTATTTTCTGTTAACTTATTTACACATTACTTAAAAGTTATGTCGCTATAATCATTTTTTGTATTTTCTCTGTAAGAAAACGACTTGCTAACCCTTTATTCCAGTGTACCTACTGTTAAGTATTTGTGCATAAATATATTTAAAATGCCAATTCAAAGAGAATAATTGAAATATCATATAATTACAGTGGAATTGCAGCATTTATCACAGGACCACACTCCGAATCCCCCTGTAACTGTATTGTCATGTGACATGTGCAGTGTAATAGGGCAGCCTTTTGCGGCTGGATTTATTATGAGGCAGACCAAGACAAGTATAGTTGAACAAGGTATTTATTTACCATACAGCTCACAAACATTGCATCTAATAACAACTGACAGTCTTAAATACTTTCAGCTGTCACAGGTTAAAGCATTATTCTATTAACAGGTGAGTTCTCAAATCCTGACCTTCCACCACATTATATAATACATCAACTTCAATAAAAATATATATAAATACATTTTACATTTTCATATTAATAAATATTTTTCACTTTATCCTTAAACCATACCCCTTATTGTAAAAACACCAAAAAAAACCCAAGCACAAAAGCAAGGCTGGACTGGGACAAAAAATCGGCCCGGGCATTTTGACTAGAGACCGGCCCACCAGGATAAAGATTGAAAATGTGACGTCAATCAGGGGTAAAACCGCAAAGGATTCTGGGAACTTGTGGCAAGAGGTACTAGCACACGCAGGCTTTCAATTGAACTCAGTTACACAGCAATAAAAAGAAACCCAAAAAATGGCAAGAAGCTGTTGTATTATTAACTGCAATAGCCGGTCGCATGACAGCCACGGGAAGCCGACGGGTAAAGAGATCGTTTTTTTTATCGGATTACGTCGTTGAAGAGAAATTTTTTAAGCCATGTTTCCGAAGTAAGCCGACGGATGGTCTGGATATACCAAATATAACGTCTCAGAACACTCCAGCTCACATGTTAGTCTGCTCCAAGCATTCCCACAAAGGTCAGAGTTCTGTTGTAGTTAATACGTCATTTTTCTTAACATAATTGGTGATATAGGTTACAAGCAAGTCTGGCGCTGAACAGAAATTGCTGCGCTATGCTCCTTTATTTATTGTGCATAAATAGTGAATTGTCCTGACCAGTGTTGGTCAAGTTACTTGAAAAAAGTAATCAGTAACTAATTACTGATTACTTCCCCAAAAAAGTAATCCCGTTACTTTACTGATTACTTATTTTCAAAAGTAATTAATTACTTAGTTACTTAGTTACTTAGTTACTTTTTAAAAACACGATTTACAACCTGAAGAGGTGATAAAGCGATAGATCTTTCAGCCCAATTCTACTTTTTCTACATAATCCATCATACAAAATGTAATCAAATGGAAAAGTCTCTTTTTTTAACTTGTTTTATCATTTTTAATCTTTTAACTTTATGCATCAAGCAAAAATTTAATTATATGCAACATTCTCTGAGTTGAATAAATGAGTTTAACATTTAAACCTATTTTCTGCACATTCCAGCACATAAAATAAAATAATTTTTTGTGTTTACACTCACTCTTTCAAATAGATGCAAGTAAAACACAGCAGAACATAAATAAAGTCAAAGACTCAGCGGTCCTGTTGCTCTATTTTCACCTGTAAAGCAGGACTGCAGTAGGCGGAGGTTTACCCTGGTGCAGGTGTGCAGCGGTCAGTGGAAGGATACGGCAGTGTCTCTGTGAGTTTCCCATTACGTCGTTGCGCTCTTGGTGCTTCCTTGGAAGTTTAGGGGTTTTTTTCGCTGTAAAAAGAAGTTTTCTTCCCACGCACGATGGACGCTAATGTTTTTGTCACTTTTTATGGAATCAAACTCAAAGTAAGGTCATTACTTCCACGCTTTAAACGCTGCACGCTCATACTCTCTCCCGCACTTGATATATGATCCATTGTTGATCTGCACACAGCTGTTGTCACTAACGGCGCACTCGCTTACGTCACTGTCATGAGACATTCTCGCAAAAAATCACGGTTTTAGTAACGCAGTAACGCAGCGTTCCTACGGGAAAGTAACGGTAATCTAATTACCGATTTTGCAATAGTAATCCCTTACTTTACTCGTTACTCGAAAAAAGTAATCAGATTACAGTAACGCGTTACAAGTAACGCGTTACTGCCCATCTCTGGTCCTGACACAATATTGCGTTTCGCTTCTGTTATTACCATGGTACATTGACAAAAACATATACTTTTATTCACAGGATAAAACAGTTGTTTTGTATCACTAATTGTCCAGTACGATTACAGCATACAATATTATTGTCACTGCTACATTTCTGTAATGCTACCAGAAATTATTTCCACTACTAATTAATTACCGTT